CCCCCCCCACCCCAAATCGGAAGCGCCCATCCATCACCTGCTGTCAACGCTTAACAAAACCAAGCTTCCGAGCGAGCCAGAGATGCTGTGGTTTACAACTGGAACCAAAGGGTTTTGTTTTTGTTTTTTTAATTCCCCAAGAGGCAATTGGACTTTCTGTTTTGTTTTGTTTTTTCTTTTCTTTGAAAGAAGCGTTTCATTTCTCATCCGAGAAGCTTCTTCAGCTCTGAGTGGATGCTGGTAGGGAAGGGTTCTTGCTCCTTGTAGACAGCTGATCATTTGCATTCTTTTTAGAGGGACCTTGAGGCCACTTGGAGGTTTGTCTGTGGGGATGAGATGTCTGCACCTGGGTTCAACGGTGAAATGACACAGGGTAGAAAGCACCCTGCAGAAAGCACAGCTCCACAACCCAGCTCCTTTCAGCAGCAGCTCCAAGACTCCACACCCCCTTTGCATTAATCGGGTGGCTATGAGGACACAGGTAAACCTCCAAGTGGCCTCAACGACCCTCTAAAAGGACGCAAATGACCAATTATCTGCAAGGAGCATAAATCCTTCCATTCCCCTCCATCCAGTCAGAGCTAAAGAAGCTTCTGGGATGAGAAGTGAAACGTCTTCAAGGAAAAAAAACCAGACAGTCCAGTTGCCTCTTGAAAAAGCATTTTTGGGACAACTGTGACATGGATGGTTGATGATCTCCTTAGACATTTACAATTTGAAGTCAGCCAGTTCAGAAGAACCCACAACATGGGGCTGTCAGAGGGAGAAATGACATCAAAGCCCAATCTGACAGTGAGAACAGCTAATCAGTGGAACGACTTCCTCCAGAAGTTGTAGGTATAGAGATTTGGACAGCCCTGTATCTGAAATGGCACAAGTAGTCTTCCACTTATAACTGTTCATTTAGTGACCGTACAAAAAGTTGCCTATTGCAAAAACACCTTTGGATGCTTTTTTCCTGGATGACTGAGAATCTCCATAGACACTGACCACTGAAAGTTACAACGGCACTGAAAAAGTGACTTGAGGTCCATTTTTTCACACGACCATTGCGGCATGCCCATGGGTCATGTGATCAAAATTTGGCAGCTTGGCAACTGACTCATATTTATGAAGGTCGCAGCATCCCAGGATCACGGTGATCCCCTTTTGTAACCTTCCGACAAGCGAAGTCAGCATGGAAATCAAATTCACTTAACAGCCTTGTTACTGACTTTGACAAGGGCAGCGATTCATTTAACGATTTTGGCAAGAAAGGTTGTAAAACTGGTCTCACTTAGCGGAAGAAAATTGAGACTCAGTTGTGGTCACAACTCAAGGAACACCTGTATAGGATCTCCTGCTTGTGCAGGGGGTTGGACTAGAGTGCCTCTGAGGACCCTAGAATAGAATATGAAATAATAGAAAAAAATAGGAATAGAAAATAGGATAGGATAGGATAGGATAGGATAAAATAAAAGGGGATCGAGTGACCTCTGGGATATTGTGACTGTCATAAATAGGAACCAGTTGCCAAGCATCTGAATTTTGATCACATGAATGTGGATGCTGCCACGGTCGTTAAGTGTAGAAGTGTAAAAGTAAGTCCCATTTTGCAGTTCTGTTGTAACTTTAAACAGTCACTAAATGAACTGTTGTAAGTCGAGGACTGCCTGTATTCCCAAAAAGCATGATCAGGACAAAGTAAAGCCAGAAAAAAAATGAAATCTGATATTATTTCATATCTCTATATTATAGGAGAGTGAATAAAATAATTATTAAATTTGAATGGTCACTAAATGAACTGTTTGTTAAGTCAAGGGCTACCTGTAAATAAATCTAGATTATTAAAAATGAAGTCACATATGGGGTACTAGATAAAAACCTTTTTTTAGTTCTGCTCTTCCTTTCTCCTTCCAAACTGGGGATCAGTTTGCTGTACAGGGAGTCCTAACGGGGAGTCCTAAAGTCCTTTTTCTTCCAAAGACAACTGGACTTTCTTCATTTTTACTTGAAGAGGTTTCACTTCTCATCCAAGAAGCTTCCTCAATTCTGAATGAAGGGTGGCAAATGGAAGGATTTCTATTTATAGAACTGAAGAAGCTTCTTAGATGAGAAGTGAAACGTCTTCCAGCAAAAACCAAGAAAGTCCAGTTGCTCTTGGAAAAAAGCATCTTTCGGACAACCGTGACCGGGATGACTGAGAATCCCCATAGACATGTGGTCCTTGACTTATGACCCACAACCGAGCCCAAAATTTCCACTGCCGAGCGAGGCAGTTGTTAAGTTTGAAAGCCGGCTGGGGAATTCTGGGAGTTGGAATCGACCCGTCTTCTAGCTGCTAAGATTGAGAAAAGCCGCCCAAGGGCTGAGATCACGCTGTATTTAATTTACCTAAATGATTTAAGCAAGGGACCAGCTTCAGACTCAAGTGGCTGATCACATCCCTGCGTCCCTCTCACAGTTAAACTGGAACACTGAATAAATTACGACTGAGCTCTGATGTGCTAATTCACCGCCTGCTGGGAATATGACATTATATACAGGAGAAATATGACCGCTCCTCTCCATTGCGCAGCGTCCAAGTATTCTTTCTACAGGTAGTCCTTGTCTTACAACCGCCTTTGGGACCGGAGGTCCTGTCGTAAGCCGTCGTGACGAAAAGCATTTTAAGTTGAGGCAACCATATGACTGGACCCTTTTTTTTAAACAGAGGCCGTTAAGCAGATCAAATAGTCATAAATCCGAATCACAGTTGCTAAGCAAATCAAACAGTCGTTAAGCGCCAACCCATCCTCCAAAATGCCGGGAACTGGCAAAGAGCATCACAAATGACGGTCACATGACTGTGGGATACTGCAAAAGTTGTAAATGTGAAGCCGGTTGCCAAGCAACAAACATGGGGTTATGTTGAAGGAGGGGATCATTTTAAGGACGAGAAACACTTTACAATCCCAAAAGCATCCTTTCTGAGCCATAACCCCAAATGTTCATTAAACAACCAGTCATAAGTTGAGGACTATTTATATCATCATCACCTTCTTTTAACGACCCCATAAT